GTCGCGCGGGAAAAATCGACGCATATTCCCTATGTCCAGTCCAACCTATTTGAAATAGATCGCCTAATTCAGGTTACGCTTTTTACATTTAGTTTTAAATTGAACAATTAATATTGACTTAAATTCTTTTGTTATTTAGAAGCAATCAATTCTAGTAAATGTTCAAAGGTGATTTTTAGTAACTATGGTTCAATAAAACTTTACGTTATATTTAGTCCGATGGTAACTGTAAGCAACTTAATTTTAAACTTATTAGCTATAGTTAATTACTGTCAACTTCTTTAACTCAACTTTAATATTAAAATAAACTTGATCAAGAAATTGGTGACGTAGGCCAATGAAACAAATGCGAAGCGATCTCAACAAATCCATTTATTGTTAACTGGCTCGTTATTTATTGTTAACTGGGTCGTCAGCGCAGTTAGGGCAGTCGCAGTTAGTGCAGTCAATGCAGTCTCGCAGAACAATAGTGGACAAATAGCCGCGAGCCGGCTATCAAAGCTGTACGCGTACAACCGTCTACTCTACCATTGTGTCGACAAAATTGAATATTATTCATTTAAACTGAATTGAACTCGAATATCGATTATAACTTTAATAAGTAAATCAAATTTTAGTTACCAACAATTGTTGGAGTGTACAGTCACGGGAAAAATTTCAGCTATTCAAGTTTACTGGTAATTTTTAATGAGATTTATACGAAACTAGCTGTTCCCATGCGACTTCATCCGCATAGAATTATAAAAAAAACATTTTATTGTTCACATTTGTCAAATTATCAATGGCAAATGTCAAAATGACATGAAATGATGACAAACTATGGCAATCTTGTTTCCTTGATGTTGGCAGCCACGTATGGTCTCTTTCCCACATTAGGGTTTTTATCCAAGATAATTACCCCCTAAGTTTAATGGCCTGAAAATATATAGCCTAAAGCGTGATGTAAGTATAGGGCTTTTTATTAAAAAAGGAGTTATTCAAAAATATGCTGTAATTGCTGACATCTTAGGCAACAAAGGAGTGTGTGTTTACGCTTTATTATAATAGTATAGATTATTCGGATATATAGGGTTCTAAATCTAGTGTATTATTTAAAAGTTGAGTTAAAACATTATTGTTCTAATTCTAAGCCAATAAACTCGTATTCTTGAAATTTTACCAAACGATTTACCAACATTTTCACTCTAACTCACATGAGTGGTGCCAATTCATATTTCGTGTTTACATTTGTAAAGACTATTAAATTATCTATTAAAATAAAATTATGATCGAATTTCTACCAACATGCAGACATCAAAAACAAAACAAATGCTAACATAATTTTCTTTAGAAAAGAGTTATATTGGACATAAACAATATTACTTTAGAATCTACAAAGGTTAAATATTAATAGAGATACGAAAAAAATATTTATCACACTCGCCGCTATTATTAAGAAGTATGGTGAGAAGTAAATCAAATTAATCTATTCTTTGCCAAGTCCATGATCATAGCGGCGTTGCTTGTTGGCAACATCGCAACATCTTCACTATAATCCAAAGATATAAACTCATTTAGAATTACACTAATATATTTGACAAGATCTCCTTCAAATTCGATTCGAAATCATTTATGATATGACGGAGTTTGCCATGTTTATCGATAGTTTATTAACATTGAAGTTGCTATTATATTATTTTTAAAAGAAAACTATCATTTACCTTATTTTGTAACTACAAAAACATCATTTAAATTATATTATTTTCTTATTTTCCAGATTTCCTTCAACAGATTTCACACACCCTAAACCCTGGCATAGATTAGGCTCAGATGCGCTATATAGTACTGTTGGATTTAAACCGACAAACATCAAAATATTTACACAGGGGGATGAAAAATGCGAGTACAAAGTACTCTAATGCGAAGCGAGATACGTTTGGTGGTTGGACGAATTAGATCCGGACCAGATTAGCATGCGAGGCGAACCACGGACAGACGTATTTGCATTGCGCTAGTTCACACAAGGGAAGTAAATTCTGACAGAGTATACTGAACAGTACCGCTATTGAGTGAACGCACCTTGTCAAAAAAGTAGTGCCACTGCAATGATTCGTCTTAATACATATTGTAATCTCTATTTTGTCACAGATAAAGAAAAATATTGTCATAAATAATATTACAAGTGGGCAATGGAATTCTACCATCACCGTGAGTTCAAACAACAGCAGTACTGTTTTCTTATGCTGCCTCCAGGGACAACCCTCGCACCGGTACCCTCGTGTGAAACTAGCATAACTCTATTACGCATGTTATCATAATCTCCGAGGGTGAATGCAGTTAATGCGCTCGGATTTAATATCTACTCTTTTCTTAACGCCAACGTTTAAACAGAATATTAATTTAAAAATAAATATGCAACTGACCCTTGCATAAATATTGAATTTAACTTTTCTAAGGAAATTATTGTAATAAAAAAGTACTCAGTGCATATTTTTAAATTACCGTATATCTCAAATTGTCACAAAACTTAATAGAAAAATAATAAATGTTTTATTGAGAAGAGTTAATATTTCAACGGTCAAAAGTACCTCAATAAGAAAAAAGCCCTTCTGCTCTAATCCTCCTTTCTATACTCTCCATACTTTATACTCACGCACCTGACTCGACAGAATGTGCTCGCGAAAATTCACCAGATCTCTGCGGGCCAATTCAATTACATTGAAAGATCCCTCATAAGCGAATCGTTTTTCCGAGTCATTAATTTTTTCGAATGACACGGGGCCCGTCGTGATACGGCGGGAGGGTCAGAGCGGCTATCTCGCGAGATAATACTGATTTATGTGGGCGGGCGACGCTCGCGATTTGTCGCGCTAGCTTCGCTACCACTGCTCAATAGCGTTGCGATAGCTTGGCCGTCGCCTCGCCGTTAGTGTACACCCGCCGCTGCTCATTTGTGACGGTTAGTTGGCGAGATTTATGCTAATCGACGGGGCGAACGCGTTAGCTCGCGTGACGGTGTGGCAAATTGTCTCCTATTGCGACTTTTCATATCCCCTTTGTTGAGTTGGTCTCTTTATATGGTGATACGAGCGAGACGAAAGCGAAGGTAATCCGATCGTTATATTAACAGATAACATATCGATTTATCAGTAAAGAGAAAATATATAAATGTATGAGAGCGAGATGATATAAACAAATAATGTTAACTTCTTATTATCATTATCTATAATAATAAACAGAAAACAGGCGTGAAGTGGAAGCAATTCCGCGTTTCGTCTGATGAGTGTGGTGCCGGAGGACTAATTTTAGTCCCTTTCTCTTTCCACCCTTTTCTTAAGAGGAAACGATGGGTAGGAAAACTGGATTTGACAGTGTAGGAGACGCATAGGAAGGGGAAATATCCTCTTTATGTGCGTCTCCTTATAATAAAAAAAAAATCTAATCTTATTGGTACTAATAATTTAAATTAATACGTATTGTTGCTTGTTTATGAAGTTGCCTATATACTATTTATATCGTAGAAATATGTTACTTCTAATTCAAATTCACAAGAGTAAGTGCGCTACTTGAACACATTGTCCGATTGTTCCGGGCCGCTTGTTTCGAAAGTAAATAAGAGCGGAATATAATTCCAGATGTCGTATTTTATGATGCATGATGGAAAAAAGCGAATGGCCGGGGCGTCGTTAACTCGAGAACATTATAAGTAATAAATAAGTGAGGTATTAATACGGCTTTATAGTCCGTGAAAGAGCGGGCATTGTTTCGCGCGGCGCGGAGTGGCAAGTTCGCGCTGTTCTCGTTCCTTCTACTGAGTCTGCTGATTATTATATCACAATATTTGTGAAAATATTTCCAATAAGCGCTAAGCTTTACCGCTATTTAGCATTGGTTTGCTCGTTGTACTGTATCTCCATAATTACCGAATTCTCGAGGTTTTTTTATAGTTATTTTCTATTTAATCCAGTATTTTAAATAAAAGAAAAGAATTTGAATAAAAACACCTGGATCAATAAAATATCAATAACAAAAATGAGTCGAATACATTCCGGTTGATGTGATTTTTTTACTACTTCAAGCTTTAGTTTTGACTTAAACACGAATAATGTAACATTCAATATGCTGGTATTCAAGCGATGCTTAGTGTGTTCATATTATTATATTTTTTTAATCTAATGAATTGAAAGTCAGAATCATAATCAGAGGAATGTATTGGCAAATTTGTCACGATCGGTGAGCTGTCGTCGTGATTTACGCCGCACCGATAACGGCCCGCTCCCTGCCGGCACACCGCGATATCGCCAGCACAATAACCAAAGAATTGACTTTTTTCCAAGGCTCTCATTCAACCGGTGAGATTTGCAAGGAGAACGTATATTATACCAGCTATTAAGTTCAGTCAATAAGGTTCTCGAATTGGAGTAATTGAATGAACATTTGTAAGATGGAGAGCGCGCCCGGTGGCGGTCAGCGGCGGTCGCCGGCGATCGCTGGCGGTCGTCAACGGACGGCGGCGGGAGATTGGCTATTGTTCGTCCGCGAGGCGTATCGGTCGCGCTGTGCCACCTACCTTATCGTCAACTTGAACTGCATCGATCTCGTTAACCGATCGCTTACCTACCACAGACAGTTTTTAATTTCACATCGACATTCGTACGCAAGATACCTAAGTCAAATTCCTTTTACGTTATTGGGGTTTACTCATGTACAATTACAGCCATTAAAACTATCGTCGCATAGACGCAACATTCTTTTTCATGATCAATAAAAAAAGTTTAGCTTTCGCCCGCAACTCCGTCGGCGCGGAATTAGAAAATGAAGTTGCCTATGTGTACTTCCATACTATGCTAGAGAATTATGACTACGCTAGAGATATGGATGAAATTTGAGATCGACATCCATCCCAAATTTCATCCGAAACCGTTCAGCCGTTAAGGCAACAAAATGGAATAAACATCCATCCATCTAAATTTTCTAGTTTATAACATTAGTAAGGTGTAACAGGAATAAGTTTCACCTACCTTCCAGTTTTGGTGATAATCATCTCGGTTCCTAGTTCATTGAATTTATCCCAGAGTTCTTTGGTCTCGAGATGGCATTGAATGTGTTTCATCTCGTCGCTAGAACACCTCTCCGTGAGCTGGGGATTGCGGGGCGCGGGCGACAGGGCCCGCGAGCCGCCGGGTGCTCCGCTAGCGGACCCCGCCTCAGACGTCGAGGATACATCCACCGGGGAATCCCGTTCGTATTCCGCTAACGGCGGCGATGGTGAACCCGACGTTGACGCGGTCGCGTCCACAAACTTTTCTGGAATATGTTATTTTATTTTAAAAATATGCCATTGAAAGGTTCAACTGCAGTGACTGTTATGTTACTCATATCTTCTCTTTGTTTGTTCAAAGAGAACGACAGGGATGGTTATAATACAAGACATTGCAGTCGAAATTAAAAGTGATAACTTGATCACGTTAAATGCTAATTGTAACTATTTCTTCTTCATTTGTTATTAACCCCTCATAATCCTATTTTTTCTATTGGGTAAAACAACAATGATAAAGCGTATTGTTCTTAAAATCTTACGATAAAAGAAATTCCAATCAAATCAAGAAAATTTCCATACTAAGAATAAAACCTGAATTTGCTAAAGTTATATCAATATCGATAGACAGACAAGATATTGATATTTATAATGTAGGTATTTAAAAAATGATTTGCATCTAATAAGAAATAGTACAGAAATTTTTCAATCAAAAATGCTTTAATTTTTAACTTAATTTAAGTCCTTACATAAATCTATTCTCATACAAGTAATTTTTAGATAGAGTTTAGAGCTTATTTGTTCGACAGCAAGTAATATTATGCACAAAAAATAAAATTGCAACAATGTTTTGTTTGTAATTTTTCATTACAAGTAATAAATAAAATATATCGTTATTTCCATAACAAAACCGCTATTTTGCTACGTTGGAAAATGTAGTTTTTTAATTGTCAAACTTGACTAGTACACTGACCCTGGTTCTTTTTATTATTTCAGAATTATCAATCAACTACAATCAAATAGGCCCAAACAGGCCTTATACAAATCAGCGTACAAAATATAAAAATGAAAAAAGATACTAATCTAAAGTTTCTTTGCCTAGCATTTTATCACGAATTTCTTTATCGTAATATAGCGGTTTTTAATTTTTCTATATTTTAATACCTTTGAAGGATTTGAATTATTGTCTCGTAATTTTTTTCAGTACATAGATTATCTTGTATCTTGTACGTTAATTGTAATGAGGAGAGACTGAAAATACTGGCTCGAATTGTGTAATTCTTTCCACACTACAAGCTACGTTACTCAGAAGTAACAAAGCCAAGGATGTTTATTTACTTTTAACACGCTGTATTGAAACGACGATGTCCATGTCGACAGATATAAAAAGAAAGTTTTTGAAACTACTTTGTTTTTGAATTAGAAATGTTTTGAAGGATTTTATAAAAAAATATCATTGTTAACTTATTTGGCTTCTTTTAAACGTCAAAATGTCTGTTCACAATTGTTTATCAACGGCTTCTTTTCCAAATTATAAACTTGTTTGACTTGTTTGGAACAGTTTAAATGAAGAAGTTTATGCCATAATTGACCAACTTGCTTTAAATCTATTTGTGGCAAGATTTTAGTTATTGTATAAAAACTTTGTAGTTACCAAGTGGCGTAAGAGTGTCCTCCCTAGGGTCCCTGTGCCTCCGCCTCTCTCGTCTCTCCTGGCGGTCTCGTGCCATGATAGCGGCGATGGAGAAGTCTGTGGCGCAAGGCCGTGCCGAGCAATCCTCCTCCATGGCCGGCGGCCGCTCCCGGCCCTCACGCTGCAGCAGCATCCAGTCGGCGGCCCGCGCACCCAGTCCGCTTGGACCCTCGCCGTTCGCACCCAGCCTGCCCCAAGACCTGTCACCGTCCGGACATCCCATCTACGCCACAAATTACCATCATCTACCACCCGATCTAATAAGACTCGACGACACTACCAAAAGTTTTTCAAAATAAAATATTTAACACATAAGTTGTTTTAATAAGAACACGTTACATTTCTTAAAGGTTGTTGTTGTATTTCGTAGGGTTGTTCGCGCGATGCGCTCGCGATGGTAAGTTTCGTGTAAGTGGTAAACTTTTTCCGCGCGCTCGGCGTCGTGGTGAGCGTGGGAGCGGTGCGACGGCGCGCGCTGGACTCGACTGAGCGACAACGTCGGGCGGCGGCGGGCGGCGACGGCCACCGGCGCAGGGAGGGGCCTGCGACCGCCCCACGCCACACACGACCACACGACCGCTTTTTTTATTACTTCTTTCCATTCCCCTCTCGCTCGCTTATCCCCCGTCTCGCTCGGCCGACGGAGTTTTTCTCTAGCTTTTCGCTAAACGGCTCGCGGCGCTTCGAAAGGCTCTCGTTAAATGCCGACTCGATACTATCGTAATATTTGCACGGGAACGAGTATCGATAACGAGTCGCATCACTATAATATTAATGCAAGGAAGCTTGTTGCTCACGACGCTGTCGACGGGTTCGCGGTTTTCAATATGATTAAATGTCTAATTATTAATCTACCAAATAATGTTTTAGCTGTTGGGTATTCGTTTATATTCTAAGTTTTTCATAGACCAGTTTTAAAAAAATGCTTTAATGTTTTAAAAAATATCCTATAAATCAATTTAAATAATTTATTTTGCAATGCTATCCGACAATGATTTTATAATCCTCAGATTTAATTACATTGAATTATTTTTGATACAACAAACGGGAAATCAAATTAAGGGATCAAAGCTGGCTTTGTTCAATATAACTAAAGTGTTACAAACATTTTTTTTCAAAATCATATTATTTCACGTAGAATTATCACTTCTAAGATTTTACTTTAATTTCATACTTGTTACATCTACTGTTATAGGGCCAATATTTTCAATAAATTGCAATGTTCTTAGTAGTCAACAATTAAACAAAACTTACCAATACACAAAGCAACACTGATCGGTCAATTACTGTTATTTCATAAACACAAGTCGTCAGTCTCCGCCAGCAATACACCTTCAATTATTGCTGTGTTCAAATTTGCGTAAAATTGGACTTGCGGACTTCGTTGTTTCGTATTTATAATAATTTATAACGTGCGAGGAGTTCAAACTAACCATGTCGCGGCGCAATATGCCTTATCGAACGGGCCGGTAATAGCTGCACGAATGGCCGCCGATACGCGAAATGTCACCAATACTATTAATTATTTGCCCATTCATTGCTGACGGTGGAATTTAATAACACGACTATATTTCTTTCAACCATTTCTTTTCATTGTATTAAAAGTCGCAACATTGGATACTGCGGTATTATAATTCGTTAGAAGTACCAGGATAGGATACTTTGGTATACAATGTTGATGATGTGCTTCACAAATTCAATTAGATTCCAATCAAAGTGGATGGTTCTTGAAAATAAGACAGTTAACATAGTGCTGTTTTACCATATTTCAATTCTTTTACCCCTGCACTACATCCTATATTTTTTGACCACGTTATAATAGGTTATGAATTTTTATCTTTAATTTTGTGGAATCCTGTAAACTAGTCATGGTCTCTGTGGACAGAAGTGTACGACGTTCAAGTGTCGTCAGTAGCTTTTTTAATATTTCAGTATGTTTTACGCAAAGTGCTTGCGATTTCACGTAGCTCGCAAATCTAATAAAATTTGTTCGACTTCACGTTAATTGATTTCATTACCCACAATAGTCCATTTGATGGATAAAATCATACTTCATACTAATCATACTTGCAAATACCCTAGTACTGTATTAGTAGAACACACATAGGTATATTTTACAGACTATGTTCTACATTTGTGCCAAATTTCATCTAGATTCTTATGAAATCTGCTTAACAACAGCTTTGGAGATACGTACATACCTCAAACCATACATCCATCCAAATTTTCTATAGAATTATGTTTTAAACGATACCTTCAACAAATCAAGACTATTCTCTTACAATAATCTTATTAAAATTTAAGAAAAAGAAAATCAAGAGTATGTGCGTAAACAGCTAATGGGGAATACCGTAAATCGATTGACAAATTAAAGGGCGTATCAGACGTGCGACCGCTTATCTTGTCGGAGTAGTCGTGTGGTGAGCGCTGTACTTTTTGTTGAGCGCATCGGCCAGTATCAGCGGCCAAGTTGTGATTATTTAAAAAGTATAAGCAAGTCGTGTGAACGCACCCGCGTTGACGGAGGGGGGAGCGACGCCCCTAGTAGGCGGGCCATGGAAACACGACGCTATTTTGAACCTTATTGTTTTACTAAATAAAGTTGATTTTATGGTGTACAAATATGTTGCAATGAATGCAGGCGCATGTAGGAGTGAGGGCCAGCTCCTTGCTAAGTAGCACAATAAGCATTCAAGTATGAAACCCGCTCACAATTTTTCGTCGTATGTCTTGATAATGTCAAAGCTTTTCTCTTTAAATTCAATTTGATACCAAAAAATAAAAAAAAAAAGTTTAAGAGAACTCGATCGATAAGTATATTCATTTAAGTAAAAAAACTCCTTACTTAGGTAAGTAAACTCTTTCACTGTGTAATTTTTAAGTCCTACTCAGTACCAACCTTTGTTTCAACTTTTAAGTATTAAATAAGATAGGTTTTACTCATTAAGTTTAAAAAATAACATCCACGAACAATAGACTCAATCTTTGTTAACATTTAAATCATAGATGTACATTAAAATATCTAAAACTACACACATAGTTTACTAAAACTGCACGCAAACATTCAGCGATCAGTTTCTGGTTACAGAATATCTGAGGGTAGAACATACGTAATAAGGAAACATAACTCTACGCATAACGTCCACATAACTTAATGTTACAAAGTCAATCGCAACATATGCCTCCAACTAAAATTGTTTTCGGTGAACACATGAAATTTTACTACGGCATGATATTGAGTTCGCTAAATCCTTGGAGCAGACCGGATGACATGGAACTATACAGAAATGTGTAATAGATGTTCTATGCTTCTAGTTTTACGTAACGCTACAAGGAATCATTGATATTGAGATTTTTATGATAAAATATTTCGAATGTAATGTTTCTATTACCAATCTATAGTCAAATAACTACTAGAGTTTAGGATAATTGGTAATTTACCGGTTAAACCTCAAAACATATGTAAGTAAAACACAGGTGTTATTTTTATTTTATATGAGAAGGGAGCAAACGAGCGGCGGGAACACAGAGGTGGTGGTGGTGAGTTATCGAAGTAACAGATAGGGAATAGAAATTTCACAGAAATCAGACAAAAATACATTTTCAATATAGTTCTAATTGTCTTTCTAGTTAGATTTATTTATTTTTACTTTTCGATGGTTCAAAGTAACTATTATAGTTTTGGTCTATGTGTTCAGTAAATTTGTGATTGTTTAATTAATGTGCCCCCTTATTAATATTTATGACGTCATCATAAGTACATATATCTCACAGTCAAATTCTGAACCGAAACTTAAACATTTCGTTTCGTAAGTACAGCTTATCTGATAGATGTCGAAATGGTTATTGAATTTGCAGCTTAACTATGGTTTTATCATTTAAGATACTGTAACATACTACAGTAGAACCTCGATAACTTAAAAACCTCGAAAAATAATATGTTCCCTTCCCATCAGAGCCCAAAATCTCTACAACATAGACCCTTCATAACTTAAAACCTCTATCACTTAAAATATTTTGTGTTTCCCTTGGACTTTAACTTTTTGAGGTTCTATTGTATATAAATCTCGTATCAGTATTCGGCCGTTAGAAATGTATGTTGTAACCTTTAACGGAAGTGTCCGTAAAGGCGACCTCATCCCGTCACCTGAATAAATTAGGAAGGGCCGATCTTAATGAATGGATCCGCGGCCACTATTACTTTTATCGTGATTTACTGAGTCCACATACACTCACACACGCACCGCTGTGTCGCGTAATCAATAAACAACATCGTTTTATTCAATTGCATTTCGCAATTGTTTCTTTACAAATAGCAAACATTGGAGAAATTCTATATACTTGGTGAGATTGTTACTGATTTTTTTCATTCACTTTATGATTTTATAAAATTGTCAATAGATATCTATGTCTATACCATCTATACTATTATAATAAAGCGTAAACTAACACTTCTTTGTTGCCTAAGATGTCAGCAAGTGCAGCACATTTTTGAATAATTCTTTTTTTTTAATAAAAAGCCATACACTTACTTCACGCTTTAGGCTATACATTTTCACGCTATTAAACTTAGTTGGCAAATAAATTGGATAAAAATCATATTATGGGAAAAGGACCATAAGTTCCTGGTAACATCAATGAAGCAAGATTGCCATGGATTGTCATCATGTCATATCATTTTGACATTTGCAATAGATAAATTGACAAATGTAAACGATAAAATAAAGTTTTTATAATTACCTGCGGATGAACCCGCATGGGAACAGCTATTATTATAAAGAAGAAAGATTTGTATTTTTGTGTGGATTGAAATAGCTCTAAAACTACTGGGACGATTTCAAAAATACTTTTACCATTAAAAACAATATCAATGAGTTTCATAAGCTATATTTCTTATTTTTTTTTTAATTTTACGCGGATGAAGTCGTGAGCAACAGCTAGTAAGCAACAGGTTATAGCATTTTTTAAATGAGAACAATAAAACATTATAAAATCGACATCTTTAAGGATCAAATTAAGATGAAGCAAAAAGTAAAGTAAACCACGTATAAGATTCGAAAAGATTTATTTAATACGTATGGAAAATAAATAACATGCAACAAACACTTCTTTAGAGCATATTTGTTTCGAGTCCGTCCCTGGGAGGGTGACAATACGTTGTTCGTTAGACAGCGCCGCCTCCCGGGACCCGCTAAATCGCATCGGTTTCCCTGCCTTTTCGTTTGTTCGACCTTTTTCTTTTTAGAAGCGTAAATTCCGAACGAAAATCCAATGTCACCTGAGCTACATGTTTAGGCATTAGATTGAGGTTAAGATTTATTTCATCCCAAGTGAATGTGAGGACGATTTATTTACTTTGTTTTTTGTTTTTAAAGAGACTAGTAGTTGAATAAAATGGCAGATATTGAACTATTACTTTATCTATAGCATTGATTACAAATTTGTAACGAATCATTATTTCTAA